GGTCAAAAGTGACTTTTGACTAGGTCAAAGCTGAGCGTTTCTCATGTAGGAATCCATGATGATCTCAGGTCAAAGGACATAGTGACATGGTTTGTACATGAAAGAAGCTTGTGACTTAACCCATGCAGCTCTCTCATAGCGGGTCGGTCCAACACCTTGTATTCTTACATGTGCCTATGACTTTGATTTATATCTCTATACATCTTCAAAGTCATACTGGTCTTATTTCATCTCTACTCCCATATAGATGACCGACCAGGGACATTTAGGATAAAATCATGAGTTATCTAAGGATAGTCATCACAGTAAACATGCAAATAATATGATAACATAATTAAGAAATTCATAAATCAACAATGTTCATTACACAATGGTTGGCCCTTAGGGCACAATTTCCAACAGTTATCTGTCCTCCTTTAATTTACAAGTGGTCAAATTGGCGAATCTAAGCAGTTAGATCTCTTAGTGAGTGTTTACAAAAATCACACATATACGAAAACATTAATTTATAACTTGAAACTACTAAATTTATCCTAAGGTTACTCTAAAGTTACCTACAGCATATAATTTTAATCCTTTTTAGTTAATCCTCTGGAAAAATATTGGACTCATATAATAAAATTATAAGAGTTTATACGTGTGTGCAAATATATATTTTTAAAATAATTATTTATAAAGATATGTTCTATAATTTTCTACCATTTACAAAGGCATAAAATAATAAAATAAAATAAATTATTCTGTTTATTTATTTACTGACCAATTTATTTATTTATCTTTATGTTTTTTGTTTATTTCATTTTATATAAAGATATTCACATTATAATATATGAATAGAATTTTTCTTTTTACAAAACTAAATAAAATACTTTATTGATAGATACTATAATAATTATAACAAAATAATTAGAAAACATATTGTCTAATTCTTAAAGCTATTTTAAAGCCCTAAAAACCTATTCTTTAATGATAAGAATCAAGTTTAGAGTACTTATTAGATATTTCTAGCGTCTATAACTCTTCTAGATTGCAAAACATATAAAAAGAATTACTGGGGTCCACAGCTTTATTTTTACTACCACAGAAAATGAATAGGTAACTCTTTGTGATCTCCTATATACAGGTACTTAGACCTCATCTACTCTTCTTTTAATCGATGTGGGACTTCTTATTTGATTAGCTCAACTTTTACTTTCTTTTTAGTACTAATAATAGTATTATTAATCCTAATATTATTATTTAATTTTAATAAAGCCCCTATCCTTTTATTTCAATAATTTCGAATCCTGAAAATTTTCATATTACCTACTTAATTAATATTAATTAATCAACTCCTAGATATTTGGGTGTGTATATATTTAAAATATATCACTATATATATACAAATATTTATATAGAAAAATATAACACATAAAAATATTTTTTCTTGAATATTAAATTAAAATGCATCAAACTTTAAACATTAGCTTTATTTCCTCTTTTTTTTTTTGGCAAAAATTTTATTGGATGCTCCAAGTTTTAAAAGGGAGAAAAAAAATGGGATTTACACCATTGACCTCCTTTGCGATTGACAACCCAGCCTTTGTCCTCCCTCAAAAATGCCCTCAACCTCTGTCACAGTGACAGTAGTCTAGTCATAGCTAACGTGGACCTACTTATGCCTTATCATATCCAACCTGGGAACATATATGCTGCATCGTCAATAATTGGCAAATTTTTTAACACTGTTAACATTTGTTTAACAGAAGGATAAACTAATCTAATAGAGTAGACTTAAAGGACCCAATAAAAAGAAAAACAAATACAGGGACCTAATTCAAAATCTAGGGAAACTCTAAAGACTGGGAAATTACTTTTCCCTAGATTTTTAATCAATATGCATTGAAAGCTAAGAGGGCATTCACTGACAATTTAAGGTGCTATAATTAACAACTATCGTGGCATTTATCAATAACACATTTTTCCTATTCACAAGAAGGGTTTCTAACTACAACAACCTTCATATATTCATTCATTTTCCCCTAAAATAGAGCAACCTACCCCCAAAAATATATAGAAATAGAGCATTAATTCATTACCCTAGCCACACATAATGAAAACACATAACCAAGAGCACATGACATCTTTGTATTTCATACTTCATATAAGAAAGACCAATAAGAACCCAAGAAAGGAAACAAATTATTAAGGCAAAAGAGAGAAACTGGAAGCACCAAGGAGCATAAACAGATATGGGTATAATAGAGAAGATGAAAAAGCAAGAAAACGAAAGCATAAAGATATATAACATAAAAGAAAAACAAAATTAAGAGAACTAGGGAATGAGAATGTCTACTGCTATAGGGTCTGTTTGGATTGGCGTTGGGCAAAACTAACTTCTATCTCAACTGACTTGTGTAACTGAAGTTAGAGTAAAAGTCAATTAGGGTATATTTGGATAGGTGTTTTTAAAAAGTTAGTTGAAAAAGTTGAAAGTTTTTGGATGATTAATAAAAAAGTTAGTTTAGTTATAAAATGACTAAAAAGGGCATGGACTTTATTGAATAGTAATGTTTGAAATTTTATGTTCTTAATGTGATAATAGTTTCAAAAATATGTAAAAGTATTATGATAAAGCATAAATAGTTTATTTGTGAAATTATAAAATAAAAATATTTGTTACAAAGAAAAATTTGAAAACACATTGTAGATAATTAATTAAATATACATAGTGGACAAACATGAATATAAATTAAAATTCATTTGGTCTGAATAAAAGCTCATTATGTTGATGAAGGGGATGAGGCAGAGGGGAAAATGTGAGGGTAAATCTGGGATGCTTATTATTAATAATCACCTTTTGAAAACTGCAGTTTGAAAAGTCATATTTTTCTCCGTTGAGTCCAATTGAGGTTAAAGACCAGAAGTTGATTGGAAAAGTTAGCTCAACCAAACAACAGTTTTTGTCCAACTTAGTTTGCAACCTCAGTTTTACTATTTCCAATGAGCTTTTGGCGTTTGTAACTGTGATCCAAGCATGCTCATAATCTCTTTGATCTTCTTTCATGGCTTCTTTGATAGTAGTTCTTCATTCCCTCCTTGATTTATATATGAGGGGCTGAGGCTCACCTTTAATGGCAATGAGGAGAGTTACGACTGAACAATGGCTGAGATGCTGAGGGAACATAAAGTAGAGAGCAAGGGCCATGGTTCACAAAGTGCAAATTGCTCTAAACTTTAGTTTTTTTCCCCAAATCATTGAGGGTAATTTAGTAATTGTATCATAACAATCTCTCACATGTCCCTTGGAACTTAAGAATAGTTTAAAGATTTCATGGGACCTTTTAGTAGTTATTTCTAATTGTTGGGACCTTAGTATAATTTTTTCTTATTATCACCTAATTCACCTCTCTTGTGGATGATTTCCTACCTAACATAATCAAACAAAATCATATTTAGAGTGATTTTTAGGGTGTTTTTTTAATTAACATAGATAAAACTGATTTTTATCCTAACCAACTTTCATAAAGTTGAGATAAAAAACAATTAGGCCAATATAATTTACGTTTGGACATATTTTTATAAAAAAAGTTAGTTTTAAAAAAACTTGTTTAGATGATATATTGAAGAGTTAGTTTAAGAAGCTTCAAATATGAAGAAAATCCAAAAGTTAAAAATAAGAAGTTAGAAAAAGTTGCTTCAACTTTAAAATAGCTTTTGGACAAAAAAGCCAGTTGCTCCCAAAGCCATGCTAAACATAATTTTTTAAACATAACTACCTTTTTTCCCCTAATTGGGACTTTTTAAAGTGATCTTGAACATACATTCAACTCTATAAGTTGTTTATTAATGTTCAAGTGCGTGTTTGGATAAGCGGTGGGAGAAGTTACTTTTTTTCAATCTGACTTTTGTATAAGTCAGATTAGATAAAAGTTAGATAGGATAATGTGATTTATGTTTGTATTAACTTTTGTAGAAAAGTCAGTTTGAGAAGCTGAAACTTGTTTGGATGAATAATAAAAAAGTAAGTTTAGATACAAAATAACTGAAAAGGACATAAATTTTATTAAGTAATATTATAATAGTAAGTTCTAAGCAATAAAATAATAACAAAAAGATATCTTTTTTTACAAAAAAAAAACATTAAGTAAATAAATGAAAAAATAGCATGGTGCTTTATTTTCCCCTCCCCCAATTTTACGTTAGTAAATACTAAAAAAATATTATCCTTAATTTATTGTTCCACTTTTACAACATGTGAATGTCAAAAAAAAAAAAAAAACTGTTCATGTCTAATATCATCATCTCTTCTCTTTCTTCTTTTTTTCTCTGCTGCACACCCCACCATCCCTCATCCGCTACTGCTCTTCACTCCAAAAACAAAAAAAAAGTAGCTTCTGCCCAACAGTTCATTGGACCCCATAAGCCCATCATGAAAAAAAGTTAGTCCAAACAACTTCAAAATCCCAAAAGTAACTTTTACTGGTGCAAACGTACATTTAGGCCACGAAATGCGATACCAAACACAGCCCAACATAGGGCGTTGGAAGCATAGACAGCTAAATTAAAATTCTTCACTACGCAGGTGGTGGTTGTCACACATGGTGCAGGAACTTGGGAGGTTCTCGGCTGGAACATCACGCATGTTGGTGGAAGGTCAACTGGAAAAAAAAAAAAAAAGAAAGGAGAGAGAGAAAGAGGAGATGGATAAAGGAGAGAAGACGGAGAATCAGATGACACTGAACAAGTGTGAGGCACACCAAAGCAAAAAGTAATGGAAGTTAGAAGTAGTTAATGGGAATGGTATTTTTGCTATTGTTGAAAAAGTTAGGATAGAAATGGCTATAGGTTTATTTGCGTCTTAATCCAATTTGAAACTGGGGAGTGCCGGCCCAAAGATATTTGGAAATTGGGAACTTTGCGGCCCAATGAGGTGTAAAGGCGCCAACGCCATCTTGGGGACGTGGAGAGTTGGTCAGTTGCAGAATTTCTTGTTTTGGTCCAAGTTCAGTTGTGGATTTACAAAATCAAATTTCCGCTATTTGATTCCCTCCGCTCCAGTTTCCTTCCCCATCCAATTTTTGCCGTTCGTGTTACAATGACGAACGCCATGGGTCCTCCTCCAGTAAACCCTAACTTAGGTGCAAACCCAGTTACCAAATCCGCTGATGAACTCGTTCCTCCTCCTCCTTCTCCGCATCCTTCTTCTGGAGGTGCATCGAAGTCTGTTATGGGTCCTCCTCCTCCCAAAATTCCCGACGCTTCGAAGCCTAATTCGGTCCAGGCCGATTTGAATTCTGCAGAAGGCCAGCCGCAGTCTGAGACGGCCCCTGAATCTATCGAGAAAAGCCCGGAAAGCTCTTCGGGTTACGTAAGTGAGAAGTCTTCAACTCCGAAGCAACCTCAAAGCGTAGGGGTTCCATATAAAATTCCTGCTTGGGGTGGAGCTCCTTGCCATGAGTTCTATCTTGAGGTTCTCAAGGAGGGTTGTATTATTGATAAACTTGACGTGTAAGTCGTCGCATTCCTTTGTTACGTCCATGCTTGGAGTAGAGCATCGGGCTATCATGCGTACTTTAACGAACCATGTTTACCGACTAAATTATTGCATGTCTTGATTCTGGTACAGCTATGAGAAAGGGGCCTACATGTTCGGGCGATTAGACCTCTGTGACTTCTTACTTGAGCATCCAACTATTTCCAGGTTTCACGCAGGTATATCGCATGCTCTATTGTTTTTTATTCCCTTACTGAAATCTTTCTGTGAATTTCATCATTCTTTTCCATTGTCATTACTTGTGTTTCAGTAGTTTTAATTAATTGTAATATTAACTAATAATTTGGTGAGCAATTTGGGAACTAAGTTGTAAGCGACAAGCTTTTTATTGTCAATCTGCATGTGCTGTCAGTGGGAAGAACCACTTTTCATAGGTATCCTGCCAAGCATTCCATACTATTTGATGTGAGACTTACGCATACTATACCATCCAATCCCTATGAACTCCTGATGTACCATAACAAGCATCTCATATTTACTTTAAGTGGGAAACACATATTTCATACTACCCAGTTCTTATTAAGCTGCAAATGGCTTATGCTCTAACTCTACCATATGTAAACTAGTAAGGATTGATTGCTGTCAGAAGTCCAATGCATCACTTATCCTATTTGGCCTATTTGGATTACTTATCCCATTTACTTCATCATGATTATTATTGCTCTCACTGCTGTTGCATTATTTCAGCATTTATCTTTACTTCATGTTGATTAGATTTAACCTAGATTCACTTTAGAAACTCATCTCTTGGCTATGCCTACAAACTGGTCAGGTAGTATATGTATTCCTTTCTCCTCAATTCAATAAAATACAGAGCGATATGATCACTTGTTCCACCCAGATGTGATAATCACCTATTCGATAGACAAGGTTGTATGTTCAGAACGTGTTAACAAACAATCAATTAAGTTGAGTAAGTTTAACATTGGTCTTATTATGTGATTATGAACTAGCACTTTTACATTCTTCGGTGTTGGTTTTTTTTTTTTTTTGGTTGTTTTCGCATTGAAATGCTTTGTTAGCTCCAATGTACCTGTTTTATGTTCTTATTTAGTTTTTGGGTTGATAATATCCTTGTGGGAATATCAAACTTCTCACATATTTACTTCGTATACCGTAAAAGTACTTCTAAAACCATGGTTTGGTTTCCATCCAAACACCTCCTTAGAAATCGTACAAAAATGAGTTATTTGGTTAGTATGGGTTATTCAATCCTTGCTGGGATGGTTGGGTCTTGGGAATTTGGAATGCTGAGACTAGGATCAGCATTGCCCTTGTGAGTATGTCAAATTTTATTCAATATCATTCTTCCTTGTAGTTTTTTTTTTCATGTTTCTTAGTTTTAGCTCTCTTCTTCTCTTGCAATTGTTATCATCGTTCCTAAAAATTCAAGGAACATGAGGCTTTATTGGTCTAGCCGTCAAGGAAGCGTAGTTATTTATTTACTAGACTGCCTCATGAAGTATCTCCTCCTATAGACATCTAGAAGCCATATGATGGCTTATGTATGACTTTCTTTACATTTACATGATAAATAAATTATAAATTTGGTGTTGACAGTCACAAATGGGAAAGTTCATTTACTTTATCCTTGAATCTCACCGTTTTTCTGTTTGTCATTTTTAGTTATCCAATTCAAGAGAAGTGGGCAAGCATATCTCTATGACCTTGGGAGCACTCATGGTACCTTTTTGAACAAGAATCAGGTATCCCTTTGAACAGGCATTTGCTGTCATAAAAGCTTATTTTATTCGTATTGTGCAGCATAAATAGCTTCAAAACCCTCAATCGTGAGAGGGTTAAGTTGACATTCTACGTGTACAAACTAGTAAAATAGAATAAAATGAAAATCTGTAACTAACTGAAAACAATCATTAATTGGCGGCAAAGTCTAAACCTATAGAACAAACCAGGGTTTTGTGGGCCTAAGCTCATTGAAGTATTTAGATAATGGTGAATAGGGTTGTGGACCATTTGGAGAGTACTTTGCGGAGTGAGGGTAGTGTTGAGCCCCCCATAATTCAGCTCCTCACCTCGTCAAACCAGGGAAATAAAACAAATAAAAATCTGTAACTAACTGAAAATCATTAATTGATGGCGGAGCGTAAACCTAGAGAATAAACTAGGGTTTTGTGGGCCTAAAGGCCTATTAGGGTGTGCTGCTAACACCATTTCTGCTGTTATCTCTTTTAATGTTAATACTAGATTGTACATTTTTGATGGTAGCTGGGACATGTGGACCCAATGGTGTTGGCTAAACATAATGTAGGATTGTGACGGAGTTGTTATTTCTTGAAATTGGGTGAAAGGGTAAAGTTGTCAGATTCTAATCCAAGCATGAGAACTTAGTTTTTATTCCATGTCATTCCGGGAAGGATTGATAGCACAAATGTTAAAATGCGAATTAAAAGGTTCAGAAGTCCGAGACCTTACCTAAAATAGTCTAAACAACCACGATTAGATTAGTAACTCTAAGTTTGAAAAAATTTAGAAAAAAAATTGAAAATTGGATGTTTACTATTGAATCAATTTGCTAGTGAAGATAATTCTAGCGTGATATATTGTATTATTATTCAAACAATAAGTCTGTACATGTATAGAGATAAACATTGGAGATAATTGCTGCCTAACAAATGGTCAACATCCGATTTGCTTAGATTTGCTGTAACAGTCAATAATTTATTTCTCTGCAGCTATCAGTAAAATATGACAAATAAAGCAGTAAAAACTAACATCTGATCATTGGAGATCATTGCTATCTGGTTGAAAATTCATATTATCAAGTATTTGTTATCAAAAAAAATACTTTGATAGAATTGCGTTTACTTTCCAGACCAATAAAAGGAAAATTGTCAAGATACCTGGAAAAAAAAAATAACATCTGGTTATTTATTTCTTGAGTCCACTGCTTATGGTCTTAATAGAGAATTTGCTGTTTCTGATATCCAAAGAGGTTTGATAGTGGATTTATACTTATTGGCTGAGATTTTCCTTGTTTCTTTAGGTTGAGAATTTTGTTGTCTGTTCTCTTTAGTACAATTTCTTCCTTTATCCAAACATCTTGTAGAATCAGCTAAATGATTAGCTTTCCTTTCCCATTTGACTAGGTGGAGAAAAACACATATATTGACTTGCATGTTGGTGATGTCATTAAGTTTGGACGGTATGTTTCTTATTTTATTTTTATTATAAGTGGTTAATCCTTCGTCCCATTTCAGTTGTTCTTTTTATTTCATTATGTGAATCTTTGGCTGTCAAAGAACCAATTATCCCAAAAGCTTTTGCTTTTTTAGGATGCTAAATAATGGCTGAAGTTTCTTGTTAATTTTATTTAGTTGTTGGGTTAACTTCTGTAGCAATTGATCGTAGAAGTTGTTTATTCATTGAAATAGTCGTACACTTATTCGCACATAACCACATTATCGGTCCATCCTAGGATTCAGCTAGATTACATGATTATTGGAGAGTCAGAATAAATTTCAAAATTTAATTTAAATTGAAACAGAACTTGCCGCCTAAACTACAGAGATTCAGTGGTAGAGTGAAAAAACCCTAACCCACTGCTTGGATGGACAGAAAATTAGGGAGGAAAGAAAACTAGAGAGGAAAAAATAGGAGGAGAAATGAGTTTTCCCTTCTTGGATAGGAGAGAAAATGTGGGAGGAAAGAAAAGTGGGGGTGAAAATAAGGTGGGTCCCATGTGTCATTTTCTCTCCTCTCGCCTTCTTGAGTTCTTCTTCCCCATATTTATTTTCTTTCATTACGTTTAAAAAAAAAATTCACCTTTTATTTTTATCTTAAAACTATTTTTATTAAATGATTTGGTTTTACAATATAGTAATATAAAAATATATATAAACCAAATAACTTGATTTTAAATCATCAAATGATTTAAAATCAAGTTAGCTGGTTTCAAATTATTTGATGATTTAAAATCAAGTTAAAATCAAGTCAGGCAAATCATCCTTTCAAGGATATTGATGAAGCCAGGCTTTTGGGTAATAGAGATTGGTCCATTGTTCCATCTCATCTACCAAGAGAATCTTTGATTATTGCTGATCACTTAGCCAGATGTTCTCATTGTTTAGAGGGTGATTTTGTATCTTAGATCAACCACCTCCCGATAGAGAGGGGGTGGTCGATAGAGGAAACTACGTTTGTGTCTGGTTCATCTAGTCGTATTCGGTTTTCAGTACTATTAAAAAAAAAAATTATTTGATGATGCTAATGTTAGTATGATTTTCCTATTGCAATATTTTATTTGATTTAATTTTAAGTATGATATATTTTGATAAAGATATTTTAGTCATTTAGATATTTGCTTATTTTCTTTCCTTCATATTTTCTCTTGTCTATCCATGCAAGAGGGATGATAAATTCGCTGCCTTTTTTCTTTTTTTTACTCAACTTTTCTGCCCATCCAAACATAGCATAAATGAAATTGGTTTTTATCTTTAGCATGACTTAAAAGACTGATTGAGGCACTTATATATATTTTTTTTTGGGTGAAAATTGAATCATTTACTATAGTTGGTTAGTGACTTAACTGTTATATTAGTATATGGGTTGTTGAACTAGTGTGTGATTGATAGAGTTGCTTTTACTGGTCAGACCTAGAAAAGGAAAATCAGCAATATACAGGAAAGAGGAAAATCGCTTTTTGTTAGTCAGAATGTTGACATCTAGATTACTAGATGAAGAGGCAGAGACATAGTGCTACTATAAGGTTGCTGAGGCAGGGACTATGTAAGGGTTAGGCTGGGGACTATAAGATGATATGGACCCACCAGATGACTTGCACTAAGAACCTCAATGAGAGTTAGTTAGGTTGTGAGGGGTTAGTTCAGTCAGTTAGGGTTGTTGTGTTCAGATATGAGCAGATGCATGGCTATGTTGCATATAAATGAGAGGGATATGGTCAGAATGCGTTGTGACTATTTTGTGAATCCATTCTGATGTACTATCCAGATTTCTTGTTCGCTCTCTATCTCTCAGGGGGTGTTTGGCTATTGCCAAAAGCACTTCCTAAAAGCACTTTTCCGTAATTCGAGATAAACTCTTTCACATATTTATTTCCATAAAATTACTTTAGAACCGTGGTTTTGTTTTCATCCAAACACTACTAACTCGCCTACCTACCCTCTCTTCTCTCTTCAATGTTCCATCCTACAACACATTCATATCATAAGTATTTATTTGTTTTTTTTTCACTTCTCCATGATATTCTCATACTTTTGTGCAATAGCCTGTGTTGGGCCTTGTATCAGTCATGGATCCAACCTAATCTGTATGTAAGTCTTCAAATTCTTGGTAGCTTCCTTCTTGAAGAATGATCTTTCACTAGGGTTGTCCATAACTTAAATTACTACACTGAAAGAAATGATATATTAGAATGAGTGTGATTTGCCCTTTCTTTGTTATATGGTGCAGTACAAGGCTATTGCATTGGCATATTTTTGGTTCTGCAACTCTCTTTTAACTGCTCAATGTACTTTATTTTTAGACAAAGTAGGAACTAAAAATAATCAGAAGAAAATTTCATCTATAAAGAACTTTCTTTGTTGTATGCTTCTGATGAGAATTTTTTTGTTCAATGAACAGGTCATCTCGTCTGTTCATCTTCCAAGGACCATCTAATTTGATGCTTCCAGTAAGATCTGTATTTCTTATTTTTGAACCTTTATCTTCATGCTGAATTAACTCTTTTTGTATTTGCCTGTTTGCCCCTGTATAAATGTTTTTGACCATACATTTCCTTTCTATTGATCTCTTCTGAAAGTAATTTTAGTATTTTTTACTTAAATTCACTTATTATATGGTTTCTGATATAAGCAATAACTTTCTCTAAAATGCCTGCAATTTCTTTGCTGAATTGGTCGGTCCTGAATTAAGAAGTTACGGAATCAGAATAGAAAGGGACAGGCTGTTGGATCTTTCCAGCTTATGATTTTTCTTGGGAGATATGATGTGCTAACTCGTTTGTAGAAAGATGGGGTGTCTATACGACTCGTTTTGCTTGTGATCTTTGCTGAACCATTATTTAATGTAAAAAAGAGTACAAAGAACGGATAGAGCAGCCCTCAACTAATCAATGCGCACTCCTAGTATTATAGCTACACGATAGGAATAGAAGATAATGGAAGAATGAAAAGACGATAAGCAAAATTGAGGAAAGCAAATAAAGATGTAGGGAACAGAGGTGAAGTGTGCCTTTGTGAATATTATTCCACGGTGCAAACCTTACACAAGGTCTGATTTATAGAGTCAGAAAACATAGCAACTTACCCTAGCATCTATAATATCCTTACTTATCTTGATATCTCAGATTGCTAAGATACGATGAGAAAAACTATATATAAAGAGATAATCAAAACATAATATAAATAAAAGTATATTCATTAATGGGTTTAAGTGGGCCTAAGCTAATGCAGCTTGACACTTCCCCTCAAGTTGGGGAGCTGACCCTTGCTTAGATATGACTTCTTCCAATCTGGTTTTTTCAAAATCTTTAGTAAGTCCGCCACTCGTGAACTTGAATTGACATGAGACACTTTAAATACCTTTGACTTTGTCTTTCCCTTTACAAAATGTTGATGTTGATTAATCTCTATATGACTGCACATTGTTTAATTTAGAGAATAAGCTAAGAATTTGATGACTTGGCTTCAAACTTTATTGCTGGAATTCACTTAGTACATATAGGACCCAATCAGGGTAAGTCAAGAATAAATCTTGAATTTAAGAAAATAAAATCAGATATTATCTAATCTAATTTAATCTAATTCCTAAATAACAAAAAAGGGAAATTAGTAATAATAATGATGATGAAAAAGCAGATATTAATGAGTGAGCCCGATTAGATGGGCTTGGGCTTGCATTCTTCAACATTCACCCTCAAGCTGGGAATTTAGATAGGACATGTGCGCCATGCTAACTAGATGGAGTATATGCAACATTAGCATGATTGTCTTCTATCTTTTCTTTGATAAAATGATGATCAATCTCAATATGTTTCATCCTCTTATGATATACATGATTCTTTACAATTTTGATAGTTGCTGTTTTATCATACCAAACTTCTAGTAGGCTGTCCCGTGATCCTCAGCTCCTAAAGAGCCTTTCAAGCCACATGCCTTCCCAAATTCCTTGAGTTAATGCTCTTAATTCTGCTTCTGCTCTACTTCTAGAAGCAGCAGATTGCTTTTTGCTTCTCCATGTTAGCAAGTTTTTCTATAAACCAATGGTATATCTTCTGTCTACTCTTGTCTGTTGCTGTCATATGATCCTTATTGGGATGACTTCAGAATTGACTCATTACTCCTACTGCATAGGAGATGTCTGGTCTCATGTGAGTTAAGTAAATTAACTTACCCACGAATTGCTGATATCTTTCTCTGCCAACAAGAAGGCAATCCTTTCTTACACCTAGCAAACGAAGCATAGGTGTAGATGCTAGCTGACATCCCAGCATACCTGTCTCTTTTAATAAATCAAGAATATATTTTCTCTGACATACAACTATATCTTGCTTAGATCCAGCAACTTCCATGCCAAGAAAATAGCCTAGTAATCCTAAATCCTTGATTTTGAATTTTGCAACCAAGAACTTCTTTAGGCTTTCTAACTCATTGATATCATCTCTTGTAATAATGATGTGGTGGAACCCACTACTCAAATATACTATTAAGGAATGAAAAAATCTAGCCAGAGTGTAAGTCTAAGCTAGAGCAACTACAACTTTGTGGAAAATAGAAAAGAGCAAAAAAGAGGGGGGGAAAAAAAAAAACTCATTCCCTAGCATCCGAGAGGCTAGTCTCTCCCTTACAAATACTCATTGTTTGTTTTAAAAAAACACTAAATCCTTCTGCACAAATTTATGCATCACACAGCCCTCTGTCTCTCTCACACACTCCACATAACCTAGCCTTGGCCCAATAGATAAGAGCCCATTAGGTTCGGGTCCATCATTACCTGGCCCTCCAAACTTCACCTTGCCCTCAAGGTGAAGATTAGAAGTAGGCATTGTTGGCTTCTTCCCTATACAACTTAGCTGCTTTTGTTTGTTTGCATATACCAACAAGAGTAATTGAATTTCATATTGAATCTTCGATATGGATGATTCAATCTCTCCAAGACATTCTGCAGAAATTATATCAACATAGGCGTGAGTCTCCTCAAAGGCCACAAGATCAATTATAGAAGCCCAAGGTATGTTGAAACAAAGTTGCAAAACCAGCTGGTGTCTTGCTGAAAGTGACTCGTAAAGAACTTATTGGCAACAATAATTGAAGAAGAGTAGATATTCCAAAAGCCTCGTTAATTTTAATCAGTCCATCACTTTTGTCACCATATTCTGCCTGTTCAATACTATAAACCAGAAATACTAGTAATTTGATGGATGGCCAAGGGTGCTTAAATTAACTTCAATTAACAACTCAAAAACAGCAAAAATAGCTGAAATGCTATATGGAGCAAATGTAACTCTCTTATCTTCATCAGCTTCATAAACTTGAATCCGATTTTCAGTTATAATAAAACATTTGTATACTGCCCAGCCATCACTAGCAACCATAGCTTGTGGAGATTCCAACTTTTGAACAGTGTTGCAATTGCGGACTTTTATATGACATGATGGTATTTTCAACTTGAGATCTCCAATGCTATAAAATATTAATATAGTCATATCGAACCAAGGCTCACTTTCAATGACTTGGACCTTTAAAATCATTAGTATTGACTTGGAATTATGATTGCCCATACACTAATCTCCTGCCTAAGGATCCTTTTACTCGTTATCAAAAATAGAAAATGAAGATATATGATTTGTCTCCCTTGACTTGTCCCTGATTTACTAAAAACACTTCTGACACTAACCCACATGGCAACGTCTTCAGGGCCATGTCCTTCATCTTCACAAGTTTTGGTAGATACAACTTGATTGTTCTTGCTCAACCAAAAATTACTTTAATAAGAACAAAACACGCTTGAACACTCTTTGATGGTTCAAATTGCACATATGGAAAAGCTTCTTAATCTGTATCTAACATCCTCTTGCACTCAGAAAAGGTAGAAAATGCTTTTGGTTTGCTCAATGCTACTTTTTGGCCAAGTAAAATTCATAGAGGGCTAGGCTCACTCTTAGGAGGCATGGCTCACTCTTAGGAGGCAATGCCACTCCAGTTTTGAACTACTTTGGTCGCTTCTCAAATAGTGGGTTGATAGACTTGTTCGACTTCTTCTCAGCAGCTGTAACAGGGCCTTTCCACCTCTTTTCAAAGCCATAGCTGCTGATTCCTTGCTGGCATCTTCAAATTTACAATGAGTAAACCCTTGCCTTGCAAGCCTTCCATATTGAAATCATCCTAGATGTATGAGCAAGTCTTGCCTGTGACAGCATCTCTATCCCCTTTGTCGATGTCTCATTATCTTGTCGGTGTTAAGTGAAGAACGAAGACTCCCTATTCGTCAATGAACACTGCGTTTTAGCGTGACTGGGTGGTTTTACATATTAAGTAAGGTTAAAAATGTTGGTAGGGGTTTGGTGGTTTGGGTTGTTTGGATAGGGGTAAAATGTGGATCACAGGCTTGAGTTGATGGTACTGTACAATTAAATGGGTCGGATTATCATATTTCTTTTTAAAAATAAAAATGGGCCCACAAGGTAAAGGTTTAAATAAGTGCTTGGGCCTTCTTCCCCACCTATTTTGACCTGTGTGATCCAAGACCCAATTAGACTCCTCTTTTTTGCACTCATCATTGTCATCAGCTTCTTCCTTGAACTTGTCCCGTAGTCGCTTATCATATCTTCAATGCTTGACTCAAGTCCTTGCAACAACACCCTTAGGTTTCATTTCTCGTTTTGGTTGGTGGTTGAAAACTTCTTCAAGCTCCTCTTTTCCTTCAGCCTTCAATTCTTTGTATACTTCTTGCTCAGTAGTTTCTTTCTTTGGGTTTATAAAATCATTATTTTAACCCCAAAGGACCTTGACAACGTTATAAGCTGTGATTCAGGGTTATCTTTCACATTCTTCAGTTCTTCATTCTTACCCTTTTGCGATATTAGCTCTACCTTGACTTCCTCCTCTAGCTCGGTTTCAGCAAGGTCTTCCTTTCCTCATTCTTTTTCAGCTATCTCCTCTTCTGTTTTTGAAGAATCTAATGATTCTGAAGCTGTACATTATTCGAATAGAATAGCAGACTTAAATAGATACAATTCCCTCAATGAATGAGGTGATTAGGTCGAGATTTTAGGGATTAGGCGAGATACTAGGATCAGGCCGAGATTCTAGGAGTCTAAATCAAATCCTAAGATATATCAGGAAAGGAATCATGATCTGTCTAATAAACAGAAATTTAAAAGAAAGAATCACACAGATTTGCACATCTGCACGGCCCATGGCCTAATAGAGACTGAATAGCCAATAATTTCCTTCTCTGATTCAGTATCCTCCTCTTCTTTTGTGTCCATGTCTACTTCAGAAGTTTCCTCCTCATTTTGTGCCTCTACTTCAATCTTTACTGCTTTGTTTTTTCTGCTTTCATTCCAATCCTTCAAAACTTCTATAATTCTTATCATGTTTTGCACATGTTCAATACATTTCAATATTTTATGTTCTTCCAGAGTGATTACCATTTCCTTAAGAGTGTACT